CAGCTCTGCCTTTGGATTCTTACTGTTTGAAAATTCTCCTGGGCTTTAGTAACTTTGTCTCAGACCCCAGAAATCTAATTTGGCCTGTGACTTGAACTCTGCCCCTGGTTGTCCCCTTTGGATTTGGTAATTTAGTCTCTGACTCTAGAACCTTGATGCCTATAACTTGGAGTCTGCTCCTCGAATTCCCCCTTGGTTTGGGTACCTTGGATTCTAGTTCTTGTCTCTGGTATTCCCTTGTGGCCTACCCATTAGGCCAAACTTTACGCCCTGGTCCTTACAGAAGTCATAATAGTTTGAACTGAGAAGTCAATGTTGACTGAAGAGATCTGCAAGCTGGCAAGATTGTGTAGGTTTCATTAAGCACTAACACCCTGATGTAAAGAAAGTTCGATATAGCATTTGGGAGGTGGTCCACATTGTAGCTATGCCTACTGTTGTCCGTTTTCTGTTTGTATTCGTACTCTTTCTTTTTCCCTACTCTCCATATTATATAAATTAAGATTACTAGATATACTGGCTCACAAGCAAACTACTAGTAATTTACCAGGCATTTTTTTTTCTTCTGAAAATACTGTAAAATTCATTTTCATATTACTAATTGTGCTTGGTCTGAGCATTATGATCCCATAATCTTGAGTTACAAGTTCATACTTAACGTTTACTTGTAAGTGCAGATGTGAATGTATGGTTAAGGTACAGCTTGAAAAATTCACTATGAGGAAAACATTCTGGATGGTGTCCCTTGTGGTCATTTTGCTTTGTTTTGCATATGTAGTTACTTTCATTCCTGTCAATGAGGAAGCATGACATCATAAAGTAATACCCCCAAGATGTTCCCTAATGGTAATTGATGGATAAACAAAGATTGGTTTTCTCCATCTTGTGCTGATTTATATTTGTGTGTGTGTGTGTGTAAGTTTCATGCATTTTAATCTAATTTATTTAGAAAAAATCAGAGAAAAATGGTATTTTCAAGTCAATATATTTGTGCTCATAGATATGGAAGAAATGGGTTGAGGGCTATGATCTTTTCTGTAACTAGATGTATACTGTAGAGTTCATTGAATGTATATTCCTCCAATGATTTTGTGTTGGAGTAGTTACAGAAAAGATCTCTGTCTTTGACCCCCTGCTTCCTTATCTATGAACAAAGATAAACTGAAAATTATTTTTTTTCCTGCATTTTTCTATGTTTACCTTTCACACCTAACTTAAATTACAAAAGAGTTGTAACATTTTAGTTATTAAATGGTGTACTGCATTTGTTCTACATATTCAGGATGTTATTCTTTTGTACTGAAAAATTATCTAGTTCACAGGATGCCAAACTCAGATTTATTTTTTTTTAGAACTTCTGAGTTTGCCTACAGCATCAATGCATTTATATTGCATGACATGACTTGCCTGATACAACATATATTGCAATCCCTATCTAAACAGCAGCTTGCTCTTTTGCACATGAAATCTTTCTCCTTCAATTCTTCTCTTTCAAGACAGGTTTTGTATTGCCCCTAAAAATCTTGCCAACAAATTACCTTTACGAGTATCAAAATACTTCTCATGCAGTTAGGTCAGGAGGTGTGCAGAATAAAATATGACTTACTCAAATATGTTGCACCTCTAGATGGTTTCAATAAATCAAAAAATGGATATGTAGCAATTCTGTTAAATAATGCATTCAGTTTGAATTATTGTCATTTGGCTACAAGACAACAGTGTGTGTCCTGTACTGTTAAATATTAATTTTTATACTAGGGAAATGTTTTGCTGAGGAAGACAGTGCACTGCATTGCCATAGGTTGAACGTAATTATTACTAAAACTATTGCATTAATAATATATCCTGAGCTCTAGGGATTAGATTTTTATAAGTATATATAATTTCTTGTTTTCTGCCTGGATTGTAATTGTAGGAGCTTTTAAAGCACCGGTGTCCAGATTTGTTTAGAAATAGTTAAGCACCTGAAGAGGCAAATGAGAGCCTAGACTGTTTTTTGTTGTTTGTTTTTTCAAATGGAACTAGGTACTAAACCGGATTTATTTTTTATACTATAGAGCTATAGGCACTTCAAAAAAAAAAAAAATCTCACAAAGTGCTCGCCTGCATGTTTAGATGCCAACAGGCCTTTCAAAATAAGGGGACTTGAGGTTTAATGTTTTTGTTAATGGTATCTATGGTATGTTGCATGTGGTAACAGGTTGTATTTTTGGGAGATGGGTATGAAAACATTTAGAGCTTTATAAGATAGGATCAAGTCTTTGACTTTCACCTAGAAAGCAGTAGGCAGCCAGTATATATCAAGGAGTACATGATGTCACACACTCACTGCAGTATCATCTGCTTGACACATTCACTTCTGCTTTCTCATCACCTTATCAAATAGATTTAAAATATTTGAGCATGTACAGTCATTGTAGTAACTTGATATTCAGAGGGTATCCTGGCAGCAAGTCTGACATTTTAGGGAAAAGGGCAGATTTTCTGTTTATGACATACTTCTAGTTGCTATTTAGTCCTGAAAACCAGATGAAGTTCTAACAAGATGTCTGGATTGGAGACTCAAATTACAAGACACTTCAGTAAAACTAGAGACAGATGTTACATATAAACTGGTGTAAGTTATCAGAAACTGGTTTTAAACCTGTAACAGAACAGGTGTTCAGTTTAAATAAACCAGTTTGAAAATGGCTGAAATCGGTTTGAGATAAACCTGGTTGAATGTAGCATCAGACTTAAATGATATGGGTCTAACCAATTTATGCAATGTCTGTCCCAGACCCCTTGATGGTTTAAGATAAACCAGACACCACCAGCATCCCAACATGCTCTCTGGGCTGCGCAGGGCGCTCTGCTCCACAGCAGGGCTCGCCCCTCCCCTCTGCTTCCTGACTGCAGCTCCAGAAACTTGCAGGTTGCTCCCCTCTTCCCCCTCACCACTCCCTGCTAAGCAGGAATTCCCCCCCTCCCCTCTGCCCTGCTGAGAGGTGTCTGTGTATTAGCTAGTAGACCACATGCTGGCTCTGGTCTGTGCTGCGACAAAGGCAGAATCAACAGGTAGCTGGTAATGTCACTCGGTTGTTTTCTTAATGGGGTGATAAACACTGAATTAGGGGTGATAAATACTCTTATCAATTCCCTGCTGGGCTAATCAGAGTGTCTTGCTGGGGCCTGGCTGCACCCCACCTGCGCCGCTCAGCTCAGAAGGGAAGGGAGGACTGCTCTAGTGCCTCCCAGCTTGTAGCCTGAGCCACTGCAGGCATGTGCCTGCATTTCTGGGATGTCTTTGCAGTTACAAAGTGATTTAGCCTAGCCAGGTTAGACTAACCTGCAAATATTGAATCAATTCATGTTCAGGTTTATTGAATGTCTGTCCCTAGCCTAAAAGGGATGAATTTAATCAGCAATATTTCCTTTTATGAAGGGGATACAAATGATATAAAACTTCTGTGTAAGCATTTGATTCTTTTTTTGAGTGTAAATTGAAAATTTAATTTTGATTTTCTTGACTAAACACACATTTTCTGAAAAGCAGCAACCAGAACACTGTTTTCTAAAAACTAACAAAATAAATAAGCGAACATACTAAAGAGGAAGATGGAGATATGGAGTTGGAGATAGGTATGCAATGCTGATCAAAGCCAGATCAGAGTTAGGTTGGATTTTATCATTTTAATTAATGATTGAGGTAAATAGCAATGAATTTCTGAAGTTGTGAATGTTTGTAATTTGGGAGTGAATATGACCACCTCCTACCTAGTGCAGAGAAATACTAAAAGAACTTGGGAATTTAGAAACTTATACAGAAAATGAGATTCACTTAGAGAAAAAGCAAGCTAATATATATCCACAAGAAATATGATCATGTTATACATGTATACTTACTGGGCATGTCTACATGAGATGCTAACTGCACAGTAGCCTAATAATACTGCTCAGTAGCATGTCACACCCCGAGCGGTGTTAATATGCTCCTGTGCAGTATTATTAGGTTACTATTCAGCAGCATCACTAAAAAAGGTGGTTGTTGGCACTACTGCACAATAACTCCAGTTACTGCACATTTATGAATGCACATAGTTACTATGCATTTATTTAGTACTTGTATAATCAAGTACTAAATAAATGTGCAGTAAGTACTGCGCCTTAATGAATGTGTAGATGCACCCACTGGTATGGAGAAAATAGAGAAGTAGTACTTTTAAGAGTTCTAGGGGTGATGATTGACAAATTGAATGGATTTTTTTGGCTATTACAGGGAATTCATTGTTAATAAGATATATAGAAAAGTGTTATCACAAAATGTAAAGGAAAAGATCTTCCTACATGGTTCTAACATAACCATTCCTGAAATATTTTATTAGGGTCTAAGCATCACATCATTAGAAAGATACTGATAAATTCAAATGAGTTAAGAGACAGAAAGCAAAAACTGGTAGAGCATTTGAGTGACTGATTTGAGAAGAGGCAGCAAAATCTGATCCTGAGAGATGCTAAGTATTCTCAACTCCTACTAAATGGTAAAGGGCTGAAAAAAGTCATATCATCTCAGGTGAGAAGTTAGATACTACCATAATAAATCTTGGTCTAATTAATAGTAATGATTTCCACTACTGCAAATGATAATTATAAAAGGGGAACAATCTAAGGGGTATATACACAAAGAATAGAGAATTCCTAGTTAGGGTGACACAAGGAATAACACAATCAAATTAATAAACGGGAAGTTTAGACTTAATATTAGGAACAACTTCTTAGCAATGAACTTCTAGGCAGCTTCTTGGAGATGGTAGACAGAGACATGATATCTAAAGAAAAAAGGAGGAGTCCAGTTGTTTGAGACTTTTAAATCTGGTCTTCACAGACTGCTGAACAATTAGGAAGATTTCTTCACCAAATATACTGGAAGACCTATTAAGAGTCTTGCATCTCTCATTTCATATTGTTATATCAAGTTCATTTACTTATTATATAACCTTTGGTACATTTATTTTCTACAGGAGAAACATATGCATGAATTAGAAGACATGAGGAAAGCTGGACATGAAGCCCTGAGTATTATTGTGGAAGAATTCAAGGTAAATGAGCCATGAGGACAGTGTTCATTGTACATTAGTTATAGCCTGTATTATAAACTTTAGTAAAGGTAGCACATATAATGTTAAGGTAGTTTAGCATTTCCCATTATAAAACACTCTTAGTAGCTGATTATTGTTTTGCCAAACTTTAACCATTTGCACTGAAAATTTGCATCCTGGGTAGGTGTCTTGGGTTGCATTTTTGGAATGTTTCAGGCAAAATGGCTCAACCTTTTCCAAAACTGAACAATATTGCATTTCCCTTGTTAAATTATCATGGTCTTTTCTTTTATGAACTTTACTGCCTCTCTGTATTGGAGTTCTTAGTGGTGAAGAGATTGTGGACATGTGACCCTCACAGAGCAACTCAACAATTCCAGCCAAGAACTGCAGTGGCAAATCCACATTTTCTCTGTAATGGCTGCTCCTAGGTGGTCTAAACCAGAATGTGGAGCTAGGCATTGGAACCCAGAGCAGGGAATATGTTTGCCTTGCACTGTTGTTGTCCATTCCTCCATCCTTGTTGCCATCCAGGGAGTATAGAGAAAGATATTTTCTCCAAACACACCCACAACAAAGTCTGAATCAGAGGGAAGGCAAAGAAGTAGATGGGACCAAGGAATCTGTTCAGATTAAGGAGAGAAGCTGTGAGTGCTTGGGCAAGGAGGTTGAGTATTGGGAGATAAGGGAGAGGAGAGAAATGAAGGATCTCACTGGAAGTTGGAAGTGGAGGGTAAAGAAGATAGGAATGCCAATCAGTTACCTGTGGGTAAGGAATAGAGATGCACCAATACATTGGTCTAATAAGAAAATTTGCTCTATCAGATATCAGCCCGATGGGGCTGCCAATTTGGCCAGTAAATGCTATGCTATGCACAGGTGCAGTGCAGGCACTCATGCAGTGAGGAGCAGAGCCAGCAGCTTAGCTCCTACCGCTCCTTGCACCCCAGAAGGGTGAGGGGGGGGTGTGCCCCCAGATCAAGGTGAGGTGGGCTGGGGAGAGGGGCTGTGCCAGGCTCTTCTCAGCAGGGGCTGGGTTCAGAGCAGGCACTGGCAGGATGCTGCATCCACTGCTATTTTTACTGCTGCTCTGCTCCTAGTGTCGCTGCTGCCAGCTGCCCAGCGCAGCCTTGGCTCTTCCTGATGCTTCGATGGAGGTTTGGCATCAAGTGGAGCACTGGCGAAATTTGGGGTAGATGCAGCATCCTCCCACTGCCACCGGTGCCCGATTTGGGGTGGATGCAGCACCCTCCCAGTGCCACCGGTGCCCGCTCTGAGCCCAGCCTCTGCCAAGAACAGCCCCATGCAGCCCCAGGTGCAGTCCTTCTCGGCCCACCCCATGCAGATCTGAGGAG